TCTAGGAACTACTGGACAAAGGCTTCATTCAACCTAGTACCTCACCTTGGGGAGCTCCAGTATTGTTCGTAAAGAAAAATGATAGCATGATGAGATTATGCATCGATTACCGGGAGCTGAACAAGGTCACCATCAAGAATCGGTACCCTCTGTCACGAATCGATGACTTGTTCGATCAACTTCAAGGCGCCCAAGTATTCTTGAAAATTGACTTGCGTTCTGGCTACCATAAACTAAAAGTCAAAACGGAAAGCATCGAAAAGACTGCCTTCAAAACCCGTTACGGGCACTACGAGTTTCTCGTCATGCCATTTGGCGTCACAAATGCTCCAGCGGCCTTCATGGATCTCATGAACCGAGTGTTCAACCCCTATCTTAACGAGTTTGTTATTATCTTCATTGATGACATTCTCAATACTCCAAGTCACCGAAAGACCATGAACAAAACATGTGAATGGTTTTACAAACATTACATGATCATAAAATTTATGCCAAGTTGAAGAAATGTGAATTTTTGATCACTAGTGTATACTTCCTCGGTCACGTCATTAACAAAGATGGCATCTCGGTTGACTTCCAAAAAGTTACAGCAATCGTGGACTAGCCACGACCTACTAATGTTTCAAAAATTCAAAGTTTCTTAGGTCTAGCTAGCTATTATCGACGCTTCGTGCAAGATTTTTCAAAAGTAGCATCACCCTTGACCTAACTAGCTCGGAAGAACATACTCTTTGAATGGACTGACAAACAGGAGCGTTGCTTCCAAGAGTAAAAAAAAAAACTTGTGTCAGCTCCTATACTAGCACTCCTTGCGGGAACAGATGGGTTCGTAATTTATAGTGATTTCTCATATAATGGTTTAGGTTGCATTCTTATGCAAAACGGAAAAGTCATTGCTTATGCCTCACGCTAACTAAAGACTCACGAGAGAAACTACCCAACTCATGATCTAGAATTGGTTGCGGTGATATTCACCCTCAAGATCTGGCGTTGTTATCTCTATGGTGCAGCCTACAAGATTTACACTGATCACAAGAGTCTGAAATATCTGTTTACACAGAATGAACTAAATATAAGGCAACGACGGTGGTTAGAATTTATGAAAGACTACGATGTAGAGATCCATCACTATCCAGGCAAAGCTAACATGGTAGCAGACGCACTGAGCCGAAAGACGACCAGAAGTTTGGCATACACTCTCGTTCCCCTCCAAATCAAGGGACTGCTCGCCAATATAACCGTGGAATCCACTTTGATTGAAGAAATTAAAGCATGCCAATATGAAGATAAACTGTTAAAGAAAAAGTAAGAGGAGCAAAGGAGTACGCCTGATCCTGACTTCATAATAAGCAATGGGATGCTAAAATTTCAGAATCGAATCTACATACCCGACATTCCGGAACTCAAAAAGAAGATAATGGTAGAAGCTCATAACTAGAGGTTTGTAGTCCACCCTGGTAATATAAAGATTTACCATGATCTGAAGGAACACTATTAGTGGACAGAAATGGAAAGAGACATAGAAAGCCACGTCTCTAAATGCCTGTATTGTCAGCGTGTTAAAGCAGAACATCAGAGACTTGCAAGAATACTGCAACCACTCCCTATTGCTAAATGAAAATCAGAGCACATTACTATGGACGTCGTGGTCGGCCTACCACAGTCAGTTTCGAAAAATGATGCAATAAGGGATATAGTAGATCGATTGACGAAGTTGGCACATTTTCTACCAATTAAAATCATGTACTCCCTTAAGAAGTTTGCCACTTTATGCATCAAGAAAATTATTAGTTTGCATGGCACCCCAGTTTCAATTGTGTCTGACCGAGACCCCCGCTTCGTGTCTCACTTCTGGAGCAAATTGCAGAAGGCTTTGGGACTACACTGAAGTTTAGCATTGCTTATCACCCACAAATTGATGGGCAATTTGAAAGAACAATCCAAACGTTGGAAGACATGTTACGTATATGCGTGTTGGACCTCAAAGGTAACTGGGATGAGCACCTACCTTTAGTGGAATTCGCCTATAACAATAGCTATCAAGCAAGCATTGGCATGGCGCTGTACGAAGCTCTGTATGAAAGGAGATGTCGATCACCTCTGTGCTAGACGGAAGTCGGGGACAGGAAATTGATAGGCCCCGAGATCGTGCAAGTCACAAGTGAGAAAATCCAACTCATCCAACAGTGAATTTGCACTGCTCAGAGTCGCCAGAAAAGTTATGCAGATCCACGGTGACGGGATTTGGAATTCAAGTAGGGGATCATATGTTCCTTAAGATCTGTCCAACAAAAAGGGTTATCCGATTTGGAAAGCGAGGAAAGTTAAACCCACGTGACATCGGGCCATTCAAGATATTGGAAAGGATTGGTCTTGTAGCCTATCGCCTTGCACTACCACCAGAACTATCCAATGTCTACAATGTGTTTCACGTTTCAATGCTTCGACGGTATCTTCGAGATCCAGAACATATTGTTGATTATGAGAACCTAGAAGTTCAAGAGAATCTTTCTTATGAAGAGCAACCAGTGCAGATTCTTGATCATCATAATCAAGTTCTTCGAAACAAGACCATACCATTGGTAAAAGTCTTATAGCGAAATCATCGTATCGAAGAAACTACGTGTGAAACGAAAAGTCAAATGCGAGCCAAATACCCATATCTCTTTGAAAATTAAGGTACGTCAAATTTGGGGACAAACTTCTATTTAGGAGGGGAGAAATGTGACACCCTAATTGTTTAATTAATAACCACATATATAAATATAAACATAATTAGGGTTGTATGTAATAATATATTATTAAATAAATAATAATAAATAAAAATCTAATTTGGCATTGGGTTATCAAATATAGGATTAATTAGGATTATTATTTGGAGCCAAATTAACACAACTATGAAATTATAAAACTAGTTGGGCCAAATTAGAGTTAAAGATAGTAAATAAGTAAATGTAAAAGTAAGAGTAAATAAATAATAATATTAATAACAATAATAAATAGCAATCGAGGAGAAAGATTTGCAAAATTTCCTATAGAGTGGTAAATAAGCCACGTGTGCCGTCTAACGAGTAGGGAATGTGAGTCATTAGGCTGCTTCATCATCACATAATGTGAGTCATCACCTAGGAGTGTCTATATATAAGGGAGAGGGAACTAAGGAAGTCAAGAAGGAAGAAGAGAAAAAAAAAAAAAAAAGACCTGCCCAAAACGACGTCGTTTTGAGCAGTCGAGTCATTCGGACTGGTGACCTTTCGAGTTACGAAACACTTTCCATAATTTTAAGGTACTTTTTCTAGACTCACACATGGAATGCGAACAAGCCATGAGGAAGAACTCAACATTTGGCAAGTTTGGTTTTGATGGGGATCTATCTTGGTAGGACAAGTGGATAGATTCCAATAATTTAACATTTTGCAGATTAAATGAATGAGCCTACCTATTAGGTCAAGCCTCATCCAAGCTTTAATTGACATGTTTATTTCAAACAATTATTCAGTGTCTCACGCATTTGACGTGACACTGTCACAGAAGGCATGTAATAATTTTTAGATATATTATAGGAATGATATTAACAACTGAAAAATGTTAACACGTGCCAAATTTTTTACTAAATAAATAATCAAATATCTTATATGGATGTGGAGTTTACTTTTTGGTTGACCTCACACCTATATAACATATTTGATCATTTATTTAATAAAAAATTTAGTATACCAAACATTACTCTTAACAATTGAAAAATACTATAACCTTTTATGTTGAATTTAAGAGACATGAAGTCCATGCTATTAAATATATCTACATATAATTTTTCTCTGTATTCATATTTGTGAAACACAATTTTCAATCAATACATAGAGAGTGAAGTGGGTACCAAAAAAAAATTATGTTGGTGTATTTAGTAGCACTCACCAAAGTGGAGCGTAAATATGTAGAAGACCAAAAAGCTAAAATATGAAAAGCTAAACTAAATTATGATGAATACCATTGTTCTTATAGTAGTATTATTTAAAAAAAAAATTAAATAAACAAAAATGTGAGAAGCTAAACTAAATTATGAATATCATTGTTCTTATAGTAGTATTATTCAAAAAATAAAATAAAAAAAATCGTAAAAATGAAATTACCGGAGTTTGACTTGGTTAAAATTTTAAAATTGACTAGAAAGATAAACAAGCAAATTTGAATACATTTTGAAAATCATTAAGTTTTCACACTAGACTTAAACAAATTACGACTATGCAATGAAGTTCGATTAAAATGTTTTTACTTTCATTTATTTCTTTTTTGTTGTTTTTTTCTTTAAATTTTTATTTTTAAAGTTAATCCATTTCATTATTCTAGGACCCAACCAACCATAGTCAGTTCCTCCTTTTCTTTCTTTGGGTCAGGTTGTTCCCATACTGGGCCTGATGTGGACACATTGTTGGTATTCAACCGGGTTTAACTCCCACCAGGAAAGGAGAAAAAAATTACATGCACATTGACTTTGAAATTTTAAGAAACGCAATATATATATAAATGTTGGAATTTAATTGACTGTATTTGAATTTTAAATTTGTGAAGGAAAAAAAAAAGAAAAGGGAAATGCATTTGGTTTGGATCTACATCACCACTTTGATATGTGAAACACGGATTAGTAACTTTTTTTAATCATAATTAAATTATTTTATTTTGGCAGAACAAATTTATAACAAAAGTAGGTAAAAATGTATTCAATTGACAATTCATTTTGGGTCTTGAAGAAGTTGACAAATCAATGGATCCCAGATTCCACAGGATTCATGTTAATGGGTTTGAACTTGGAGTGTGGGCCCCATTAACTTGTTGGATTGGACTTTTCTGGGCCTAAGATTGGGCTGATTTTGACTTGTAGTTGTACCCCACTCGACTGGCCCAAGATTATAAGTCCCATCATTAATTAAACATGCTAGCGAGCATTGCTATTCAAACTTAAAAGTTAAACTTAATGATGTGCCAATCAATTGAAACATTTAAGTTAACTTTCTCTCTCATATTTGCTCTAATTATAACAAAATCATCTCTTACACATCATTGGATCTAGAAAGTGAGTTTGTATATTATTTTTCTTATCAATATAATAGTGATGTATCACATTAATGAGCAATATTACATGCCCAAAAAAAAAAACAAAAACAAAAACAAAAACAAGAAAAAAAAAAGACCACCTAAAATTTAAATTGTGTAGACAAGATTCATTATAAGTTTTGCCTCAATGCACATCAAGTTTAAATATGCACTACACATTAACTTTCTCAGTAAATTTTAAGGTTTTTTTGTATTTTTTTGAGTTCCTATCTTTCTGTAGCATTATTGATAAAATATAATGGTGCATGTTATTGTGATCAAATTTAAGTAATAAACTTTAGATATCATTCAGGAAGATTGTGTTTTTAGAGCTTGTTTGGTAATCAGTTTTGTGTTGGAAAGACAATCCTATAAATTAATGTGCATGTCATGTGGGCACTACAACATTTTTTTAATTTAGTGACATTTGAAAGTGCCACAAAATTATTGATTTAATGACATTTTTTAGTCTTGTGGCATTTTGAACAAATGTCATTTGTATCCGTGCCACGGTAGATACTTACAAGTGCCACGGTAGATACTTATATGTGCCACTACACCATCATGGCTAAAAACTTTCAATGACATTTTGATGTCATGGTAGATATTATTTGTGGCACTATCGAGCGCTATTAAAAAAAGAGTTAGTGACACTTATAAGTGTCATTACAACATCAAGACTAAAACCTTTCAGTGACAAGGGCTTTTGTGGCTCCGTTTGGCAAGGGCTCCGTTTGGCAAAGGGCTTTTGTGGCTATTTTAGCCACAAAAGACAAAATAGGCTATTTTAGTCGTAACAAACAAAACATCACATATAATCCATAATCATTATACTCTTCTCTCACAAAAAAAATAAAAAAGTCAAAAAGTCAAAAAGCCAACACACTTCCCAAACGGAGGCTTTAATGTCATGGTAAGCACTATTCGTGATGCTATCAAGTGTCATTCGTGACGATAATTTGATCCGCTCTTGCGGAGACTCGAACCGCCAACCTCCCGCACGATAAACCTTTTACACCACACTCTTCCCACTATACCTCTATAGCACCACATGATTATATATGCAACATGTATTATTTATATAGTATATACATTCATATTAATATAAAAGTATATATATAAACATAATTATTTTATTAAACATAATTTATGTAAAATAAACTATTTACTAGCAAAATAAAAAAAAAAAAGATCACTTTTGGCAACTAAAAATATTTTTTTAGTCTCCAATTCTATACTTTTGGCTACTAATTGTTTTTTAGTTGCTAAAAACTTAACTTTTGCCGACTAAAATCGGATTTGGTTGCCGAAGATGCACTTTCAGCAACCAAAATTTTGGTGGCCAAAAAATTTAATTCCCGCCTTAGGATTTTAGTTCTCCCGCGCTAAAAATGACCACTTTTGGCGACTAAACTTATTTTTCAGTCGCCAATTGTAGACTTTTGGTTACTAAATTTTTTTTAGTCACCAAAAAGCTTTACTTTTGGCTACTAAAAAATTTTGTAGTCAGTAAAACCATATAATCAGCGACCAAACTTAATTTTAGTAGCCAATTGTAAACTTTTGGCTACTAAATTTTTTTAATCACCAAAAAACTTTACTTTGGGCTACTAAAAATTTTTTAGTCACTAAAACCCATATAATCAGCGACCAAACTTAGTTTTAGTCGCCAATTGTAGACTTTTGGCTACTAAAATTGTTTAGTCGCCAAAAAGCTTTACTTTTGGCTACTAATGCTGTTTTGGTTTAGCGACCAAATTTTTTTTTGTCGGGAAATTTAGTCGCCGAATGCGCTTTTTCCTGTAGTGTATATTGAGTTTAATTTATTTATTTTTAATCATTTACTGCATTTTAAAAATTTAGAAAATATATTGGCATTTTTTATTTTTTCAAAAATGTCATTATAAGCTTGGAAAGTTTTTTACTTAGTGTCATTTCTCAAAATGCTATAAAATATTTGTTTATGACACTTTTCACCTAAGTGCCATAAAAATTACTTTGCACCTACCTAGTGTCCTGACATTTTTTAAAAAATGCCATTGCTACTAAAGTTTAGTGGCATTTGTTGGTAAATATCACAAACATGATTTTTTGTGTCATTATTTTATAAAATGTCATAAAATTGACGTGACATTTCTTTATTGAAATGCAACTAGAGCCTTATATGTTTGTGCTTCTGTGGCATTTTCTAAAACATTTAATGCCAATTTTTATTTTTGTGACATTTTCTAAAAACATGCCACTAGTGTAGTGTCACTAAAGTGTAAATTTGTTGTAATGACATTTTTGTTGTAGTGAAGTGACACTTTTTTAATTGAAATGTCACTAGAACCTTGTATGTTTGTGGCTCTATGACATTTTTCTTAAAAATGTCACCAAATATTCTTTTTTTGATATTTTTTTAAAAATATGTCACTAGTATGGTGTCATTAAAATGTGTTTTTGTAGTAGGGGGGAGTCCCAACAAAACTACATCCACATCAGGCTTACTGATTCCTTCTTTGCA